CGCCCCCCCCCGCGCCCCCCCTGCCGTTGCGGGGAGAGGCGGAGGGGTGGGAAGGGGCTTTTCGCCACCCTCGCTCTGTCGGCACGTCCCCCGGCTTCTCCAGTGCCGGGCCGCGTCTCCCACAGCCGAAAATCCTCCAGGAAGGGGCTGGAGGCGTCCAAACCCGTCCCCACGTATGGGTTGGGTTCCTCCCGTGAAGCCGAGAGCGCTGCGGAGGAGGTTTCACGCGAGGAAAGAACAACCGCGTCCCACCGATAACACCAATAAATCCCATCCCGCTGATATTTTGCCACCAAATAGGATTTTGGGGGTTGTTTTTTTTGCTCTCCAACCCTCGCGGCTCCGGGCTGGGGGTGCTCGTTAGCGGGTCGCCCAAACGATTTGGCTTTTTGACATTTTTTTCCAATAAAATCGTGATTGCGAAACCATCGGTAATTGGGGCTTTGGAGAACAAATGGGAATAAGGCGGTGTGAGCCACCCCGGAGAAGAACATTTACCTTCTCGCAGCACCTGTACGTTAATTTATATCTGTAATAAAGCGTAGCCATTGAAGTAGAAATCGGCGTACGTCGTTAATGACCGCGCTTAGGAGCAAGGTGTTAATTAGAGACGCGTGGTGGGCTGCGGAGAGGCCGCGGGTCAGGTGTGGCGCCCCTAACCGCTTTCCCGTGTTGTTTTGCAGCGATCCTCAGGCCCTGAACGATTTTTTACATGGATCCGAAAAGGTGAGCGACGACTCGTTTCTCTTCCCCGACGGCTTCAACCCAAACTTCCTTTTTTTTTTTTTTTTTTTCTTGTTGTGTGGTTGGTTTTTTTATTAATCTTCTGTTTTAACAAAAAGACGAGTTTCTCTAAAGAAAGAAAACCCCAAGCTCAGGATCTTTTTTAGTTTTTAGGACTTTTTAGGACCCCGGCCGAGCGCAACCGGGCAACTCTGCCCCCGTGCGGAGCAGCCCGCCGGGGTTTTGGGGCGCTTTGAGCCGAAACGGGGTGTCTGCCGGCAGGAGACGGGGACGGGGAGGGATGCTGCCGCGCCGCTGCCCCCGGGGGGAGAGCTCGGCGCTTTCCAGGCGCTGCCCGTCAGCCTGGAAGTTCAAAAAGAGTTTGTGAGTTTGGGAAAAATCCCTCCCGGTTCCCCCTCGGCCTGGCGCGCTCCCTTGCCTTGCTGCCGCAGCGAAGGGGAAATACGTGGAAGTCAATTCTAAAAAAATCCTCTTTTATTTTTCCCCTCCTTTCCCCCCAAGCGCATGGGTCACTCTGCCTGGATA